CGACAGCCGCCTTATCAGCAACCACCACATCCACAACCACACCAACAATCGCCATATCAACCACCACTACTATACCAACCCCCATATCAGGCACATTATCAGGAACCTAATGTTGTTGAACCAAGGCCTAGAGGGCCTGGACCTTTTCCTTTCAAACAAGACTTTTATGAAGGGGGCCAACAACACGTGCAAATGAGTCATGACCCTATGCCAAACAGACAACAGATCATAAGCATTATACAATAATTGTATGGCCCAGGCCTGAGAAGGCTAGATAGACCAATGTTAAGGAGTCCCTACCCTTCATTGGTAGAAATAATCCACATTCCAAGGAACTATGGGATTCTTGAGTTTACCTTGTTTACAGGGGAAGAGAGGCAATCAACCATAGAGCATGTAGGCAAGTTCATACTCCAATGTGGTGAACCTAGTTATGATGACAATTTAAAACTAAAACTCTTTCCTCATTCTCTATCTAAAGTGGCATTTACATGGTTTATTAACTTGCTAGAAAATTTTGTCCATACTTGGCAAGAGATGAAGAGTTAGTTTCATGCCCAGCTCTTTGGAACTGAGCTTGAGGTGACAATGGTAGACTTGTCAAAATTTAACAAAGATAAGAAGAAAATGCAGAATAGTACATCGACGGCTTTAAGAAAACAAAAAAAAGATGTCATGTGTACATGCCTAAAATAGAAGTCATAAGACTAGCTCAGAATGGTTTAGATTTTGAGCTTAGGAAAAAGTTTGAAGGCATAATGTTTAGATACTTATTTGAGTTGTCCTCAAGGGCAACCAGCTATGAGGCCATTCTCTAGGAAGAGCAACAGAGAAATGCAGCCTTATTAGGGACTTATTACCAAGAGGTTGAGTTTGACATGGAAGTTGACATAGATGTTGCACAAGTAATAGGAAAAAAACCTATGGTTTGTGAAACATTAAAAAAGGCTGACAAGCCTGTGAGTATGTTAGCAACATAGCCAGTCAAAAAGAATATGGCAGTGTCGAACAGATAGTATTCTTTTAACTTATCAAAAGCAGATGCATTGTTTGATGAGTTATTAGCAAACAAATTTTTAACTTTGACTCTTGGCCATAATATTCCTGGAGAGAATGATAGGGTTGGCAATGAATATTGTAAGTGGCATAACTCTATCAGGCATTCTACTAATAATTGTGTCACATTTCAAAATTGTGTGCAGGATTTAATCCAGAAAGGGATGTTGAAGTACACTGAAAAAGATAAGGGGGTCATGACAGTTGATAGCAACCCATTTCCAAACAAGGTGGAGATCAACATGGTAGCAATTGACCTCCAGTCGACTGATCAAAAGAAGAAGGGGAAGAACCCAGAGTTCTCTTGGTGGAACTAAAGAAGCTCCACAAAGAAAAGATGGAGAAGATTGCCAAGGAGGCAAAAGGAAAGAAAGTTCAAGAAAAGCCTAGTGAGAGGTTCATTTGTTTTAGATGTGGCACTGAAAAAGAAAGAGCCAAGGCCATTGTGATAGATGGAATTAAAAAAATTGGAAAAGATGTTGGCCTCAGGTTTAATACCATGGGAAGTGGTGACTTGCAGATATTTGATAATAATTGTATGTTCTATGATGGGTCAGATCTAGGGATATTTGGTCTTGCAGAGAATTATGGTAAGGATGATGCTCCATTCTGTTCCAAGGAGCTCCTGTTCATCCATGCTTTGGGGGGTCAAGTAATATAAAGGCCATGCTGAAACAGCAAAAGGGCTCTAGGCCATATAAAAACCCAAAGATACTAAAAAGGCCATATAGTGGCTAGCAGTAGCAATTTGTGACCTCACATAGTGGCTAGCAACAAACTGGCAAGTCATATGGGGAACAACAATAGTTTGTGAGATCATTTGGGGGACTTTAACAGTAGTATCGTGACCCAAGAATGAGGCCAGATATGCAGCCAGTTCAACCAAGGATGGTAAAGTCTCCAATACCACCCCATTTATGGTGGCAAGAGGTAGTTCATCCAAATTTCCTATGGGTGGTTGGAGACCAATGAGAGAGACTAGAACTCAAAAAATGAGGGAACAAAGGAAGTTTCTAGGGTTATAGGAGATAAGCCAACTAGGAGGCAGGACTTAGTTTGGACTAGAAATGGGTTGGTTTCTACTTCTTCAAGAAAAGAAGTGAGGGGGTCAACTCCTAGGGACCATTCAATGTAGCCAGTTTGGATTTTGAAAAGGAAAAAAAGACAAAAAAAATCAACTTAAAATCTAGGAGTAGTCTAACGTATCTAGGAGTAGTAGTTCTTGCAATTATGAGTAGCAGTAGCAGTAACAGTTAGCAGTTCTTGTAATTAAGTTCTGTCGATTGTAGTGTCAAAGGACTTGTAATTTGATCCTTGTGGTTGAAAAACAAGCTTTATTTTTGTCAATCAAAATTTAGTTGTATTTGTTGTGTTTCTTTAAGAAGTAAACCTCCAAATAAGTCCTTGAACATATCAAGGCATTAAGACACACAACCATATTGTTTGATCCTGCTGTTTGTGAGAATTGTTTTACTGTTGACCGTCAATATTGCACCCAAACTAGATATTTGCTAACATATTTTGGCACGCCCAATGGGACATCATCCTACCTTGGAGGAAAAAAAATGATACAAACAAAATGTCAAGAATTATGCCATCGAGTGGCATGTTTGCATGGCAATGTTCCAAAAAGTATGAATTATTATTGGAATGGCTCATCTTCTATGTATAATGATTGTCAATATTATGACAATGATTCTACGGAATTTTGCTAACGTAATGGCACGACAAATGATATGGAAAGAATAATTCGGTGTTGTGAGGATAAAATTTATTGGCGCAAGAGTGAAATTTTGGCTCTACAAGAAGAAATTAATTCTCTTGATTGGCAAAAATTTCAAATAATTTCATCACTGTCATATTATTTGATGCAAAAAGATATAAATTACTTTGATGAAAAAATTCGTCAACTTAGTTGTCAATTTTATCAAGTTGATGGAGAAATTCAACATTAGAGTAAAAAATTAGAGAATCTTAAAAAGCACAAATTTTGTGTGTTTCTACGAGGTTTTTCCAAGCAAAACTTTCTCTCCACAAAATCATAGCCAAGGAAAAATTAAGTGTTAAAAATGGCATGCTTGGGAGATAACTTTTTAAGCCATTAATTGAAAAAGAAGACTAACTTCTTTTGCCAAAAGCCATTGAGCATTTTAATCCAATTAGAGGATATGGTTTTAAGTCAAATATGACAAAGAATGTTAAACAACCATTACAAAATGATGGTGAACATTCAATTGGAGAGTATAATTTTAAGCCACACATGGCTAAAATTGATGAACAATGATCACAAAATGATGATGAAAATCCAATTGGAGGGCATGGTTTTAAGCCAAATATGGCTAAATTTGATGAAAAAATCACAAAATGACGGTGACAATCTAATTAAGGGGTATGATTTGAAGCCAAACATGGCTAAAAATTATGAACAACCCACATTTGATGAATTTGAATTTTTTGACATTGTTAATTTTGTCAAAAAAATTAATTTTCTAAAGTCAATTGACATTATGATTTTTGTCATCCGACAACTATAATGGTTTTGTGGTTCACATCAAAAATTAATTTTGATAAAGTGGTTTACAAAAAGAAATTTTGAATTTTATTTCTATTTTTTATATAAGAGTAATGAGGGAGCATTTCGCTGTGGCCACAACAACAAAAAATTATATATATATATATGGCCAATTGATTATAACTTTCATAATTTCTATTACATATTTATGTTCATACAACTCTTCAAGAATTCAAATACTTATTCTTAAAGAGTTGGGCATGCATTGTTTGCACCATAAATAAAATTTATATCGATTATAATTAAGTTTAAACTTTCTATTACTTATCATTATTATGATTATGCAGGAAAATCTTAAAAATTAAGAGAAGTTAAGTCAAGCTTTGAAGATTTAAGGGATGGAAGACAAGTGACAATGTAAGAATGTGGAAGTTATATGGGTGGTTAGATGATGGTTAATAGAAGTTATTTCCTACATTATTACTATTATTTTATTTATTTATTTTTTTTTTTGTATAAATTGCCATTGATGGCTCTATTATAAAGATCGCTAACAAATCAATACATGACTTGATTTTCATTTCTTTTCTATCCTAGGAGTAGATCTAATCTACATAGGAAGTAGTTTAAACTTAGATAGGAGTAGTCTTAATGTATTTCACTTGTATTTGATTATTCATTCAATCGTTTGCATCATTATTTTCTTCTTCTTTCTCTCTTTTTTCTTGTTTGTTTTGTCATTATTTTTACTCCAAGGAAGTCCTTGAAACTTTCAAGGCATAGAATCTCAACACAATTGCTTGATCATTCTATAGCCTAACAAAGTTTTTACTAACAATCAAGTATAAAATTACAGTAAAATGAATCAAAATACATTTTGTTTTTAAAAAACACAGGACATTATTTTCCGTTAACTTTAAACCTAGACCATTGAATTACAACAAGAAGATCAATGAGGAGAGATTACCTCTTAATTTTAGTTATTTATATCTCTCGAATTTCCTCTAAAATACACACCCTCCACAACACAGAGCATGCAATGTTATGTCACTTTTGAAACCTTATCAGGTAAATTTGAAATTTTGGTACAAAAGAACATAAGAAAATTTCAAAATGCCAAGTAGAAATGTTTGATTGTGATTTTGTTTTTCTTATTTTACTTCCTAAAAAATGCGAACTTGTTTGCAAACTGTTTCCAAAAACTTTTTTTTAACTTTTCATTGTTTTTTATTTTGAAAACAAAAACACAACCAAACAGGTTTTAGTCTTCAAATAAAGGAAAGACACATGGTCACAACTCATTATCACAAGACAGTAAATTTTATTATTGTTTCATGCAGGAACCAATGGAACACTAATCACTAATTGTGCATTCAAATCATTCTCAAGAAACAAAACAAAGATAGGGTAGAGAGCCTTACTAGTCATCAACTCATTGAACCCCATGTTTTGCCCAGAGATAGAAGGCTCTAACTGGACCCCTACCTCCCAACTCATACAGCTTTGGTGCCATACTTTTGCTGTCTATCTCTTGCAGAATTGGAGATAAAACTTTCCATGCAGCTTCAAGCTCATCATTTCTCATGAATAGATGGTTGTGTCCATCAGTCACATCGAGAAGAAGATGCTCGTACGAATCAAGTACCTCTGCGTTATACCTAAAGAATGAACACAATGACAGACATGTAATGTGTTAGAAAAAATTATGGAAGAAACACTCTAGAATTTATTGAATTTGCAGTGTTTACAAATGGCTGCTGACCCACCTAAAACAAACATTCAAAAGAGTTTAAATAGACTTTTTTGTTAGCTACACAACGCACCATTTCCTTATTTTTTGCTACCACAGATAATAAAACACCTAAAAACTCTCAACCACTAGGCAACTAATCCTAAAGACTCTCAACCACTAAGTCCACTATCATATATTTGTAGAACAGCAATCAATAGGTGTCCCACAATCAGATCTGCTAGAGTTGTCCGTTTAGCCTACGTCTGGATTATGTTCTAACATTTCCTCCCATAATTCAATGAGGGCTTGCACTCCCATCATGGACCGAAATTTCTTGAATTTATCTTCTGCCAAAGCCTTTGTGAGAATATCAGCTGGTTGTTCCTCTGTGTTGCAATGCCGCAACTCTATTTTACCTTTAGAAACCAACTCTCGAATGAAATTGTATCGAATCTCAATGTGTTTTGAATTTCGTTGCTGGACTGGATTCTTGGTCAATGCAATTGTGGATTTGTTGTCACAAAATATCACAGTAGGACCATGTTGCCTTTCCTTTAGATCTTCCAAAATTCTCCTAAACCAACTAGCATGACATGTTGTGGTTGTGGCTACTCTGTACTCTGCTTTTGTGCTTGACAAAGCTATACTTTGCCGCTTCTTTGATGCCTATGAAATGATTCCTGAACTAAGGCTGAATATATAACCTGTTGTACTCCTCCTATCATTTGCACAACCAGCCCAATCACTAATAGTAAAAGCAACAAGATTATTGGGTTTGCCTTTCATATACCTGATGCCATAATTTGAACTGCCTCGAACATATCTCAAGATTCTCTTAGCTGCATGTAGCTCGGCTTTTTCGCGCCCCCATTCGGAAGCTCAAAAGAAGCCCTACAGTTCAGACTCCCGCAGTTCTGAATCCAATCTCACAAGTGCAATGTGAAATTGATAAACACCAAAGAGTCCAAATCCAGCAAATCTTTTGAAAAATTGATTTTGAATCAAATTGCCAAAAATAGACTACTTTGCCAGATACAGAGTCGCCACCTAAATATTTTATTTTGGAAAAATTTAAGAAAACCATGACTCATACCAAAGGCCACGTGTCCATCATCACCAAGATTGTCTCGGCTTGGGAACTTAGGTACGATAGGGGAAGGTCATGAATTGAGCACCCTTGCTCGACCGATCAAAGATCGGCCTCTACTAATCATGATATGAATCTTATATACATTATATGCTCTTATTCCAGTTTATTAGGCTAGCATTTACTATGTGATGTGCGCACACAAATACAGACTAACTTGCAAGAATTGGAACAATTCAATGTCATGTTTGTTTTTCGAAAAGGGTTTGATTTTGCCACTTAACAAAGTGGGCTTAAAGCTTTTGAATTTGCCACTTGACAAAGTAGGCTTAAACGTATATTCATTGAATCATTCCAATTCAAGCAACAAACTTTCATCCACACGCATTCAAACAGTTTATAACAATTAAGCACTAAGCCTCATGGAAAACATGCTAGTCATGGCACTCACTTACACTCATGCAAGTATGCTAAAACACTAAAAACTCACCTAGTACTCCAAGCTAAGATAAAACAAAAGAGTTAGAAAAATACATGATTCCTAACTATACAATATGACTAATGCAACACATGTAATAATGCAACTAAAATAGTCTTGGCTACTTAACATGTTATTTGCAACCATTTCATAGCATCCATTTAAACACGTATTCAACAAGGTATTAAAAACAACAATGCAAGTTAGAATGATGAACCGAGCCTCAATGCATGCAATACAAATGAATGGATGCAAACATGAGACATGCTAATTGAAATATGATGCCCCTAACCTAACCATCAAAAGTGGATAAATAAAAGAGAAAAAGACATGGGGTTGGAAGACATACACATTATTACATTACGCTCTCACGAAGGGGAGTCCGAATGAATAAACTAGCTAAGCTAAACTACTTAACCAATTATTACAAAACTTAAATAAATAAATTAGCTAACTTCTAAGCTAATTAATTAAGATTTTAAATAGGCTAAGCTAATTAAATATTACAACACAAACTAATTTAATTAATCAATCTAAACTAAGTAAATAAGTACAAAACAAACTAATTAGTTATAACTAATTAATGACAACAAATAAATGATTAATTGCTAATTAAGCTAATTAACTAGTCTCGGGAAGCGAAAGAGGCCTATGCATGCTCGGTTTCCATCTAAAGAACGTCCACTGTTTGCTCCCAAAAAATTCTGTTGCACAACCCTTGCACTGTTTTTCTCTTCCAGATCAACTCTGTTATGCTTCACAAACACACTGCTCAAAATTCATTGCTGGCCGGTTGGCCACCATTGGCGGGTTGCCGTCCAACACTGATGGCCTACTAGCCAGACACAGTGGCCAACCGGCCACTGATGATGCACCATTTCTTACTGCAACAGAGAGCAAACAGAGTAAAATGAGGGTATTCTCACAGGTTGTTTGTACTGTGTATCCCTCCTTATCATCAAAACATCTCAAAGGATTGATACACTTGGTCCTCAAACCATCAATTCAAGCACTTTCATTGCATGACGGCTAAGGAACCAAGATGTACAAGTTTAATAAATGTAAAAATAAGACCAAAAACCATCACCCCATCATGCATGATCAAGGGAAATAGAGACCTAGGAAACTTGACACATTTCATCACTTTGAGTATGAAATGCCCCAATTTTTCTTGTGTTCAATTAACATCTGATTGAACACATCAAAACACAGTCAAATTCTTATCTTTGCATAATTTTAGTTTCAACTTTTATTTACTCATTTTAGATTACCAATCATTCTTTAACCAATTAAGTCCATTGGTGAGAAGTCCTCTAAAGAGAAGGAAGTGTCAAACAAGAGATGGTTTAAGGCAAGAGAGAAGTGTCATACCGTTGATAATGAAACCTCAAGAGAGGATTAAACCATTAAGCATGGACCTCAATCTCAAGCTTAAACAATCCTAAGGTTCAAAAAACCCTCAGAGTAAACAAAAAAAAAGTCAAGAAATGAGGGAGGTTGCAGAGATTAATGAGTGTTGAAGTTAAGTGAAAAGAGCACTAAAACATGCAATCAACTCAAACAAGTGGCTTCTAAAGGCCTAAAACACCAAGCTTGTGAGGACACTTACACTAGAAGCATGCAAAACAAGACTCAAATGCAATAACCAGCCAAAAATAGAGGCAAAATAGTCAAAAATCAAGCCTAAAACATGCTAGAATTAAGTTATAAAAGGCTAGAAAATTAAGCTAACATATAGAGCTATCTAGGCTAACAAACAAAACACAAGGAGGGGAGGCTAACCCCTCCAAATTAGACCTCAAAATGTGATTTTTATCACTGAAAACACTCTGAAATTCAGTGTTTAAAAACCAAAAAAAAGATGGTTGCAAAGTGGGAAACAAATGTGGAAAGGCCTTACAAACAAGGAATAAAGAAGGGTGAGCCACCCCTTAACCTTAAATGGCCTAAAACCACCAATTTTTGCCCACAAAAATAGAGTTTTTTACAGCCCAAAAACAGCCCAAAATCAGTAGAAAAAAGATTAAAAAAAAAAAAAGTATGCAAAACAAGTTAAAAGATCAAGTGTTATACCTCTTGAAGCAAAGATCAATTTTAGGCAATAATTCAAGCCAAAACCACCTTCTAGAGCTCCAAGAAGGCTTCAATGAACCTCAGCTCAAAGGTGATCAACTTTGGTTAAGGAGGTGTAGGCAAAAGTGTAGTGTATGTAAGCTAAGGTGCACAAACTTGCGAGAGACAGAGAAATGTAGAGAGAGAAAGAGAGATAATTTTTGCTCCAAAAATTCTAACTCTCAAAAATAGGGGGAGGAGACCGCATATATATAGAAAAACATGCATTTGGCTGAGATAAATCCCTCCATAATGTGTAGGGAGATGCAGCCAATTGTGGTAACAGCTGGAACAACCGTCAACAAAATATCTAAAAAAAGACACTGATGGCTGGCAGGGCACAATTGGTGGCTAGCAGTCCACCAAAGAGGGGCCTGCAGGTCCCAGGGTCTTGAGGCTTGAAGCACTAAGGTTTTGGTCTAAAACAAGGCATAAAATGGACAGGGTTTTAAGGCTTAAAGACAAGGCATTCCGCCGAGGACTTCGAGCACTAAAACGAACACATGCAATCATAATCATTAAGTGCACAAGTGATGATGTCCAAGTCTTAAGGATGTTCAAAAATGGGGTGTCTACAGTTGCCCCTCTTTGACAGAACTCAGAAGTCATGAAATGACATGAGTGAATGTCAAAGCCCGAAGACGACCTATTTTGACAAGGCCAAAAGACTTGGACAAACAAACAAGATAGAAAATAAATGGTTGCGCCTGCAGGCTGCCTACGTATCCCTTTGCAAGGAATCAAACCAGCGTAGTTCTGGGGCGATGCAAATGATATGCATGCAAAGTAGTTTGAAGGTTGGACTTACATGCTTCGCGAAGCCGACCATGTTGAAAACATATCATCATGCGCGATGACATATTTGGCAATAACAGGACAATAAGTAAGATAACGAGATAATAACATATGAATAAACAGCTTCAAGCTAAGATCAACATAAGGTCTACGCAAGAAGAACTAAAACATATTCTAACCACGCCAAAACAAGAGACAAGGAAAGAAAACACTGCTCAGGGGTTGCGTTTCACGCATACTAAAAAAACCACTCGGGGTCATGTTTCACACGTTCCGAGATATAACACACCTAGGGTTACGTTTCACGGGTCCTGAGAAACAACCACTAGAGCGCATACTTCGTACGTCCCGAGGTACAACCTGCCCAGGGTCGCGTTTCACGCGTCCTAAGAAACAACCACTCGGGCGCATACTTCGTACGTCCCGATGTAAAACTCGCCCAGGGCTGCATTTCACGTGTCCTGAGAAGCAACCACTCGGGTGCGTACTTCGTACATCTCAAGGTAAAACAACAGAAGGGTGTGTGATAGATGCACGAAAGTGAACAAGTGCAATAGATGCACAAAGTGAACAAGTGTGATAGATGCACAAAGTCTTCAACTAGAACTCCTCTAAATGAACCATACATACAATATCGTTTGCTTGTGTAAGAAAGAAACTTAACAAGTGCGATAGAGTAAGAATGCATGTTCTATACAAAACAAACAATCGAGATACAATGTTAATTAAAGGCATGTTCTATGCGTGAAACAAAAGCATATAAAATACGAACGAAAGCATATTCTATTCATGATTCATAACGAATGCAAGACGCGCATGCAACATATATGTGAAATGCATATCTTACGCAACAACGTATATGAAATGCATAACTTATGCAACAAAGTGACATGCATGTTTTACGCAAGGTATAAAAGCATAATTTGACAAAAACAAATCCAGTAGTAACTTCTGATTTACCTCTCGGAAGAGTTACAATATGTTTAAAGGATACACCTCGTCCATGTTGACAAGTAACGAACATCGTGTGCCAAAAAAATAGTTCTGAGCTTCCGTAGGGACAATCTAGTCCCAATAGTGAACCAACCCTATACTTCTTGGAAAACAAGGACACAAAATAGCATCAAAACCCCAAGGGAGGCCACCAACCACCTACTGGCCACTGGAGGAGGTTGTTGGCCACCTGCCGGCCTTGAAATACTGTTGCCGGCCACCCGTGATAGATTCGGGCATTTTGGTCTTCTCACCCATGGGTCTTTAAGTATAAGACTTAGGGTCTTATTTCCTTATTACCCCACATTCGAAATTCTTCCC